GTCGCTTCAGTGAGCTTGCCAAGAATCCTTGGCACAGCTCTCCCAAAACTTGTGCGCCTGGCCTTGGTCCCTGCCTAAGCTGAGGCCTTGTCACTTGTGCCCGGCCGCAAACCAAGCTGAATCAATTTTCATTCCAAGGAGAATTCAAACTGACAGCTCCTCAGAGTTTTTCTCACTCTCTCTGTCGCAGCTCTGTCGTAACCCACATTCCTGTGGGATTCGCGTTGGGATCCACAGCCCGTTTCCTCCGTACTGTGGCCCAGCCATCTTGGCCGATGTCCTCGGCCCTTCGGGTTTTGCCCCCCGAAGTGTGCTCAGGATTACTCTGCAGTTGTCCTGCAGTTCCTCCCAAGGCACTTTGAAAGATCCCAATACACTCACAGGAATTCAGCAAAAGTTATGACGGCGCGGTAAGGAAGCCTCAGAAGAGCTGGGGGAAAAAGGCTGTAGGATAGCCGGAAGTGGTTCGCACGATACCATGGGTCGTTGGCCCCCAAGCGGCTGATCGCATCACAATTGGACTTGGAGGGAATGTGTCCAATAAAGAGAAGCACGCAACGCGAAGAGGAGACACTGAATGTAGGTGGCCATCCGAGAAAGGTCGGGGTTGTCGCTCCGACCTCTGACCAGGCACATGAGACCGGCAATGTTGTCGATAAACCAGACACCGCGTCTCCCGCGAAATGCCCAGCACGCACGGTGAGGGCGTGGACCACCATGAAGAGCTCCAACTGGGCGATCTTGCGGTCACCTGCCTGCCAGGCCTCATACACCTGAGGCGGGATGATCGCGACAAAGGCCTCCCTCACTTGCACATCCCCGTCCTGGAAGACCAAGTGGAAGCCACCCGACCCCTGCCTTGGTTGCTCCAAAGCGGCGTCAGATGCCGCCACCAGACGCGGCACGTGCGTCGGCAGGATCACGACGGCGCGGCTTCATCCGAACCACCGCCTGCAACACCTTGAAGGCCGACAGTAGCGCGGCACTTGCTTGGCTGGACGCGCCATACTGGTAGTCCTTGATGGCCTGCAGTTCAACGCTCCAAGAAGTTGTCCACGCCGTACACCTTCGAGGCACCCACTTGCTCGTGCCGGACAGAACCCGCTGTCTCGAACCCAAAGTCGGCCCAGGAAGGTCCCTGTGGCTGATGTGATGTTGAGAACCCCGAAACTCCACTGCGCCGAGGAACCATTGGAAGCACGGTGATGTGGCTGTCGTCAAAGTACATCGAAACAATAATGGAGAGGAATCGCCGCCCCAATGCTTCGTCGAATCTAGAGATTGAAAGAGGTGACTGCCAGCGGGAGGCCAAAGAGGAGCGCATGGTACACCTGGAACGGGCGCTGCCAGTCCTGGTGGTACCACACGACCACGCCGGTCGTCCCGGCACCTGTCCAAGGGCCTCGCCGCCGCCGCCGCCTGGATGTGCAAAGCCGGCAAAGTGGGGAGCAAAGCACCGAACCCGACTACCTCTCGCCCCATCATCTATGAGCCCGAAGCCTGCGTGATCACGCACCTCGGAATCAAACGAAATGGCTGGCCTTGGGCGAAGCGCTGAAGCTCGCTGAAGGCGGTGTACAGAAACCCTCTTCGGGGTCACGTGTGGACTGCTTGAGCACGAATGTGTTGGTAGGCCCGGCCGGACTGCTGCCATCATGACGGCACTGTGCTCCTGCCACCCATCGAGCACATCGCTGTAGGATATAGCTTCGGAGGGTTCATGGGGAAAAGCGCCGTAGTGAGGAGCATAGCCCACAGCCGGAAGACCCTTGACGAAACCACGCCATCCTGTAGTACAGGGACATGGCATGCCAGGCCCGCCGGAGTCGAGCCGCCTGGACGGCCGCTTCCGCTCCAAGTTGGTAATGCCCGACTTCTCCATCTGCGGGCACAAGCGATGATGCCATAGCCCAAACTTGAAACAGTGAGAAGACAGGAAGCTATCACTTGGACCCTTCAAAACGGGGAAAGCGCTTGAACCCGCTTGGGGTAACGCCCCATCGCCTCCTACCTGGTAACGTCAGGGCACCTGCCACGGGCCAAGCATGACACGCGACTGCAGCACCGCCCAACGGCCATGCGCCCTCAGGCAAATATGAAAAGCGCATTGAAAAATTCGAAGACTGTGAACCCCCGTTTTGACACACGGAAGAGTTGACCGAGTCATGCGCCTCGCGGCACGCCTATGGCAGTGCAAAAGAGGGGTAGCCAAACTCGGACATTCAAGAACCAAAATCGGCTCACTGCAACAAGCCGGACACTTGCTCAGGCAAGCCCGCACCACCGCTGCTCCCACGCCATCGCCTCACACATGCCCGCAGTCACCAACGGATAGGCCATCTGCGCGCTGAGAGGCCTGCTTGTGCTTTCAGATCGGGAATCCCTTCACCGTGCTGACGCAGTTGGCGAGCTTCTGGTCGCGCAACGTCCCGGCATGCCCTGATTTCCTTTGCGGCATCGGCCAAGCTGATGCGCTTTATTTGAGGGCGCCCTGGTATTGTGGGCCAGCGCGAAGCGCTCCCCGGCACTTGGACGCGCGCTTGGAAAGGCGCCCAGGGAAGCATACCACCTGGACCACCGTCGATGAGGCCGGGACGCCCGCCAGAAAGATCGCCCCACCGCGGCAGATCAGCGACGGGGTCTGCACGGCCTTGCCTTGCTACCAGCCAGCCGCATTCAGGTCGAGGCACTCTCCGCGGGCTTGCGTGTGTCCGGACAGTCGCCAGCCTCATGAACCCGGGCAACCCAGCAGCGGCCAGCTCGCCTGCAGTTGGTCTTGACGACATGGCCACCGGCTCAACCACTGGCAACGGCGGCGGCTGTGCGACGAACCGCTCCCCCATCACCGTCACCGACGGTGCTGGCCTCCTCATGCGCTCGCGGGCGCTGTTTATGACCTGCGGTGCCTGGGACCAGATCACCTCTGTGTCCACACGACACGCCTGCGCCGCCCGGGTCTTGGCGGCCTCATCCGCAACCAAAAATGGGCAGAAAACTCCGAAGGGAAGCGTGCACGACCTCGCCGGACTCCACCCGGCCCGCAATGGCGGAGAAGTACACGGGGACCATGTCCTGGACGCGGAGGCCGCTGCTCGCCTCAACCACCATGGCCTCAGACAAGCAGTCCTCCTCATAGCATCCATGGTAGCATGGTAGGCATCCCAAGCATCGGAAGCCCTGGTGCCTTCTTGAACCAACACGGTCTTGCGACACCAGACAACGATGAACGCGAACCTGACGGCCCCAGCACGCGACTCACACCGCGCGCAACGCTCATCCACACAGAGCGCAAACTGCGGGCAGGGTATCTCCCCACTATCGGCCACGGCAAGGGGGGCTGCACAAAGGGGGGTATGCAACACCTCCACGACACAAAGCCTAAGCTTCCTGGCCTGGTGCCCCCGCCAAAGAAGGTCCTTGAAGTCGATGTAAGCACCTGTGGAGAGTACCGGACGATCCGCATGCACGGCAAAATCAACTCCTGGCACAGCCGCTTCGACAAGTAACTCTTGCCGAGAAAGCTAGAACCAGAAGTCAAAAAGCCATTTTGGATCATACATGCCCCCGAATGATCGAATTCAATCCTTGAAGAATGAAACCTGCAAACCCTAACCTTCCAAGACCTGATGCAGGGATAGACAGACGTTGCCTGGCTATCCAAACTGGAAGAGCCCCCATCCAACCAACAATATGCCCATGAAACTCTGAGCCCCAGACTATGCATCTTGCCCCAGTTCCAAGTCTGTCTTGCTGCACTGTTGCTTGTGTTGAAGCTTGTAGGTCTGCTAGCAAGGCTTTCCAGCACTCGCAGCCAATGCACAGATTGAGTCGCGCCCGACCACACCACCAGCAACTTGCGGAGGTCTCATCACCCACTGCAACACCCCAGCAAGCACCTATGCCAACACCCCCAAGGGCAGCCTCTGCGCAGCATCACAAATCATAATCCATCTCTTCACCCGGCATGCGAAAATTCGCTCCCGAACCTTGGAGCAGCCAGGGCCTCTTAGTCATACTACCTACCGCCTGGCAATAAAACATCGTGATCACCGGGCATCACCAGGTTGTCAATGAATAAAGGACAAATACTTTCTACCTCCGAACTGATCGCCTGGTGTACTTCCAGGATCTTCCCTTCCAGGACCCCGGACGTATCTTCTGCCGATACGCACGCCCAGAGTGCGAACACCAGGCTGCCGCCTCGCAAATCCCAGCATTCCCGAACAAAAGGAAGACACGCCGACATGTTCGGCCAATGCGGCCTCCACCTGCCGCGCGGCGTGGGCTGCCACTGCTTCGACCCAGGCCAACTCCAAAGCAGTGGCCGGAGCGGACGCTGGCACAAGGCACCTGGCACATCGCGGGAATGGGCGCGAGGCTCTTCATGGCATGCGTATGTGATCCCTCTCTCTCTCTAGATCACTCTCTCTCTCTCTCGCGTGCATCTGAATCTGTATATATATATATATTGGTTGATTGGTGTATTCATGAGGGTCATCCTTCTTGGCAGGCACAATGCGCACAATGGATAAGCTATGACAAGCTTAGACTGATTATGTGAGAAGGGGATCTTGCAATCCAATCTTGCCACCGCCTTGCAAGGAGATCCAGGGAGCGCTGGCGCAGCGTCTCATTGTCGCCGACCATGCACCAGGCACAGGTCACATTCCATGAGTGTGCGTGCTTTGCCTCTCTTCCGAAGTTGCTGCGCAGGCACAACACGGTGTCTCAATGGTTCGTAAAGCTGATACATACCATTTGAAGCACCAAGTGAAGCATCCAATCTCTTTGGCCATGTTGCCCTCGCAGCGGAAGGGTTGCTCGACTTGAAAGCCTCTTGCGTTCATGAGGACAGCGTCTTGCAACAAGCCCCGTGTGGTTTCCTAAACAACATGCGCGCAAAGCAATGACGATCTGGCAAGGCTGGGATGCGGAGTTTTGATGACAAACGCGAAGTAACCAAAAACCCTCCCGCGCCCGCGACACGCCGGGGCCCCTGCGGCATCTACGCACTTCTGCCTCGAGCAGTCACAAATTCACAGTGTGTCCGTTTTCCTTGACACGGCGTAGGGCTAGGGTTACCCGGGTTGCGCGGAGATACCACTGAGTGTCATGCTGTCAGGTCTGCCGAATTTGCGGATTTCCGAAGCGGAAAAGCAATTCTTTCCCTGCGCTCTCCTCAAACCTCCAGTGGCGTTTCGCAGTGTTCCCGTTTTCTGTGGTTGTTTTTTGGGTTCTCTGGCTGCGCGTGTTGCATGGTTTTAATTAAGTTTGCCTTGATGCTACGTCTGTCTGGTGAATCAGAGCCGGTTCGGGTTCGTTGTCTGAGGTTGGCTTGGGCTGGGTTGGGGCGGGTTTAGGATCTGATTTGGGCAGGCACGAGTGAAATGAGTGACCGCGCGGTGGCGGAATGGAAATGTACAAGAAGCATATCGCGAGTTCCAGTTCCTTCTGACGCTCGAATGATAGCCTGATTGCGAAACCTGGTGGGGCTGGGTTCGGAGCGCTTTGCGAGGCAGGCGCGGGTTTCGCGGCGGTTGCGCACGGTCATGTGCAGATTTTGTGGGCTGCGCAGCATTTTGGCAAGGTCTGGTACAGATTTCGGGGAGGGTCACACGAGTATGGGACAAGCGCAGGTCAGGTTCAGACCTCCCGCGCTTTTGCAAGGTCAGGTCGGTGGCAAGCTTTCAGATTCGCGGAACTCGGATAGATAGATGGTTGCTTGGATGGATGGATGGACGGACGGATGGAGATAGATAGGGACAGATAGAGATGAATAGAGATGGACAGAAACAGATAGAGATGGATGGAGATAGAAAGATTAGCTCCTTAGTTCGTTAGCTAGTGCGATAGATAGATTAGATACAGAAGTGCAGAAGTATAGAGATACAGAGATGCAGAGATGTACGGATATGGAGACATAGGGATACAGAGATAGATAGATGGATAGATAGATAGATAGACGGACAGATGGACAGATAGATAGACAAGGTTAACTAGATAGATAGATAGACAGACAGATAGATAGATAGATATGGATAGATAGATATGGATAGATAGATGGATAGATAGATTAGATTAGATTAGATTAGATTTAGATTAGATTAAATAGATTAGATAAATAGATAGATTAGATAGATAGATGGGTTAGATAGATAGATTAGATAGATAGATAGATAGATAGATAGATAGATAGATAGATAGATAGATAGGTAGATAGATAGATAGATAGGTAGATAGATAGATCAGATAGATAGATAGATTAGAAAATTTAAATAGATTAGATAGATTAGATAAAATATATTAGATAGATTAAACAGATTAGATAAATAGATAGATTAGATAGATAGATGGATAGATAGATAAATGGATAGATTAGATAAATAGATTAGATAGATAGATTAGATAGATAGATTATATAAATAGATTAGATAGATTAGATGGATTGGATAGATTAAATAGATTAGATAGATAAGATAGATAAGATAGACAAGATAGACAAGATAGATAGATAGATAGATAGGTAGATAGATAGATGAATAGATACATAGACAAGATAAGATAAGATAAGAAAAATAGATTAGATAGATACACAAACAGACAGACAGACAGACAGACAGACAGACAGACAGACAGACAGACAGACAGACAGACAGACAGACAGACAGACAGACAGACAGACAGACAGACAGACAGACAGACAGATAGATAGATAGATAGATAGATAGATACGATAGATGAGATAGATTAGATAGATTAGATAGATTAGATACATTAAATAGGTTAGATAGACTAGATAGATTAGATAAATCGATAGATTAGATAGATAGATGGATAGATGGATAGATTAGATAGATAGATTAGATAGATAGATTATTATACATCAATGTGTCACGTATCGTTCCTACTGCTAGGCTGCGACGCACCCCAATTCTTTTTCCCTTCTCATCATTCATAGTCTGCACTGCCCGTGCCTGTAACAACCCTCATCGCCTGAGGGATAATGCTTTGGATTTCCATGCATCTCCTGCATGGACTGTGCTTAGAGGGGGCCACCGGTCAACTCCGGTTGGGATGCCTCTAACATCCTTAAAAGTTCCCCTCCCCTCGAAACAGCACAGTGCGCCTTTGCGCAAACCCCAGTCCCATCGGGACCTTCAAAGTTGTCGGCTACTGGACGCCAGGCCAGACAACTAGAGTGGGTTGGGTGGGGAAAACCAAAAAGGTGTCTGCCAATTTGGCTCAGTCTTGATCCAAAATGGCAGACCCATAACACTTGATGATACATGTTCACCCAATGCCTGCCAAGCTCTAAACATGGCATACATCAATGTGTCACGTATCGTTCCTACTGCTAGGCTGCGACGCACCCCAATTCTTTTTCCCTTCTCATCATTCATAGTCTGCACTGCCCGTGCCTGTAACAACCCTCATCGCCTGAGGGATAATGCTTTGGATTTCCATGCATCTCCTGCATGGACTGTGCTTAGAGGGGGCCACCGGTCAACTCCGGTTGGGATGCCTCTAACATCCTTAAAAGTTCCCCAATGCACTTCATCAACTCCCAAAGCACTACAGAAAGCTCGTCACCGCGAGCACGGCACGAAATGGCAGCTTCCACATGATGGGGAAACAGAAAGCAGTAGACATTGAAAAATCATTTTGGCGGGCCCATGGGTCCTGCCATCCTAACCGAGAAATCGCATCCGACCAGTTGGATTTGGAAGGGATCCACTCCCAATACATCCAAACTTTCAGCCCAAACAAAACTGTGTGTATCACGTGGGACATTCGTTCCAGATCGGGCTCCCTGGATCTACCACGGATTAAACACATCAGGGCTGCGGTGTTATCGATGTACCACACTCCCCGTCGATTACGGAATGTATCCGGTCGACAGAGGAGGGCGTACAACACCATGGACAGCTCCAATTGAGCAATCTTCCGGTCCCCCGGAGTCCACAACTGGTAAAGCTCAAGTGGGATGTCGGCTACAAAAGCTTCCCGTCGCTCGGCGAAGCCGTCGGCCCACACCATCAGGAAACCTCCCGTCCCCTGACGTGGGCTCTCAAGAGCCGCATCCGAAGCTATCACAAACCTCTCACACGGCACTGGTAAAACCTGAAGCACTCGGCGTGGTTGGGTAGCAAAAACTGCTTCTAGCAACTCAAGGCTCGCCTTGATAGGCTCAGTCAGCTCAGATGATCTCTCAGCCTGCCGCGTCTTGATGGAGCCCAATCCTCCGCATCCCACGCGGCCATAGACTCCCATCTCCAAGAAGTTAGCCAGGCCGTAGATCTTGGCCGCGAGGCCAGGTGCGAGTCTCCCCTCGTTCCTGACCTTCTGGATCATCCCGGACATCTTCTCGTGCAACCGCTCCCGAGCCCAGAAAGACACCACGCCGTCGTGCAGTGCCTGAGATAGGTCATGGTCGAGCCCCAGAAAGAGTCCTTGGGCTGCCATAGGCTGCTTCTTGTCCTCGGAGAATGGCGTGCCCAGCAGCCGGTTCAGCTCTTCCAGTGCCCACTGGCCGGAGCCACCGGCCGACCGCCAATCCGTAGAACGAAACCAGAAGGACCAACAGTCGTCTGGCCAGCGCTTCCGCCAGCCTAGAGTACCGGTTGAAACTGGTCACGGCCAACGGCAGGCCAAAGAGCAGCCCTGCGTACCGCTGAAATGCAGGCGCCCCCCAGCCCTGATGCCAAAAACAAACGATGCAGCCCCTGGCCTCCTCACTGCTCATAGGAGAGTGGCGATAGGCGTCTGGCCAATCCTCACCTCCGGATTCCCACGAGTCACCCTCGCGGGCCGAGCGAAGTTGGCTCTCATCCATGCGTTGCATCACCGCTGCAATGTGCTGGGCTGGTCGCAATGGTGAACAGAGGACTAATTTATTGGCGTCCGATGAAGGGAGGGATTGACCCCCTGTATCTGCGTTGTCGATCACTCGCTGTTTGCCTGAGGACTGTGTGATGACACACCTGGGTATGAGTCGGAACTCCTGCCCTTTGAGCTCCCGCTGCAGCTCGGACAGGGACATCGGGGCTGTGCAAAACCCACGATCAGCGCCCTTCTGCGACTGCTCCAGCAAGAAGGCATCATCCTTGCCCGGGCGCAAACTAGCTAACACGAGCCGATTGTTCTCGCCTGCCCCATCCAGGACCTCCTCAAAGGTGATCCTCCGCGCGTCTTGCTGGGGGAACACGCCGTAGTGGGGGGCAAAGCCGACTGCTGGCAGGCCCACCACCAGGCCATGGGGGTATGATACGTCGGGCCACGCCAGCAATATCACCAACAGGCCCAGCAATCCAATGTCCCTTTGTGCTGTCACTGCTTGGAGGGCTGGTGCCTGGAATTGCCTCAACTGATCATCCACTCGCTTCCATCTCTGCTTCAGCTCCTTGACGGCCCCGATGGCGCCACGTCGCATCTGGCGCAGGTCCCCCCTGCGTGCCGCCATGACTGAAGCCACAAACTGCAAATCCTCATCCATTACTGCTTCTTGCTCCAGTGGGGTTGGCGTCATCTTCATAGCCAAGGCCGCAGCGAAGTGGTCGTCCGGATTGGGTACACCGGAGATCAGCGGGGGCAAGGCTGCCTTGCGGCTCAACGCACCCGCTTGCTGCCCCTCCGCTGCGCGCGACCGGATGCGGACCTCCGCCGGGGCCGTGGCAGGGCCCAGGGGCCATCCCAATCCAGATGCTGCCCGTTCCGCCACTCCGCATAGTCGATGAATGGAGACTGGTTGATGAGGTCCTCAATCATGGGGAAGCGGAAGCCCGTGAACCAGGGCTCAGGAAAGAGACCCAAGAAGCAGTTCACCACTGCCTCTTGCGTCCAACGCCGCCACGGCACCGCTCTGGCATCCACTCCTGGCAAACCGCCCCATGCCAGCAGAACTCCTCGTCTCGGCACTCGTCGGTTCTTCCGTCGTGCTGGCTGTGCGGCCGACTGCTGGACACACTCCTCAAAAACCAAGCCGGCCAAAATGTCAGCCTCGCACACCTCCTCAAAGCTGC